TTGAATATCGGCAAAAATTTAACATTTCCGCTACTTTGAGCTCAGTTTCAAGCCATTTCCAGTGCTAAAACCAATCAAAATCATCTCTATTTCTGTAATATGTCTTCCATTCTATCAAATGAGACCAAGAAATCGCAAATACAACTATAAAACATACGAAAAAACACTGCAAAGTCGCTGTTTTAATCGAAAAATCATGATTTCAGTTTTTTTCTCTCATTATACACAGTGTGCTGCAGGATCTGTTTTATGTGGTGCACACATACCACATAGATGTATTCTCTCATATCTAGGCCCAAATGTACCACTCACAGTTTATCAGAGTGAGCTGAGCTCATGGCATAGATCTACGGTTTGGACACTCACCGTAAAGCCGTAGATCTACGGGACGGACCCTGAAAGGGTTAATGGGACTAGGACCAGCTTGAGAGTCACTGGACCCTTGTCGCACAAAACATCTGTCCAGAGAGCTCTGTTCTGGTGTCTCTAAGATTTGCCTAAAATGGGAAATGGCATTGTCATTGTACAAGTTGCAAACATAGCTTGCAACAGCTTTGTTAGGGCGATGTTCCTCCACAAACGTTTGCACCTCACTCCACTCTGCACAAATGTCCTTATTCACTGAAGAAGGCACCTTCCCTCTCTCCTCCTCCTCCTCTGAAGCAATTTCCTCAGCTGTGGTCTGTTGCTATTGTAGATGAAGGTCTTGCAGCTCTTCAGTGGTTAGCTCTTCACTGTGGTCCTCCACCAACTCTTCCACATCCTCGCTACTCGCATGCAACCCCATGGAATTCCCCAATGCCACAATAGATTCCACAACAGGTGCAGGGTCGACAGGGTCAGCCTCAAACCCTTCAAAACCCTCCTCGAGGACACATTCTGGCCACAATTTTCTCCAAGCAGAATTCAAAGTCCTGGAAGTCACTTCCTGCCAAGCCTTATCTATAAGAGTTATGCAATTGAGGATACTGAAATGATCTTTCCAGAACTCTCTTAGGGTCAATCGAGTATCTGAGGTCACATCAAAGCACCTTTGAAACATTGCTTTAGTGTAGCGTTTTTGAAGTTTGAAATGATCTGCTGGTCCATGGGCTGGATGAGAGGAGTGGTATTAGGGGGAAAGAACTTCACTGTGATGAAAATAAACTCCTCAAACAACTGGTCATCCAAGTCTGGTGGATGAGCAGGAGCATTGTCCAGTACCAGGAGGCACTTGAGCGGCAATTTTTTTTCCAGAAGGTATTTATTCACACGGGCCAAACACTTCACTGAACCAATCAAGGAAAATTTGCCTCGTGGCCCATGCCTTATTGTTAGCCTTCCACATCACACAATTTACTCTTGATGATACTTTTTCCTAAACACACTGGGATTTTCAGAGTGATACACCAGTAAAGGCTTCACTTTGAAATCCCTACTAGCTTTACCACAGAGCAAGAGAGTTAGCCTGTCTTTCATAGGCTTGTGGCCTGGCAGTGCCTTTTTCTCCTGCATCATGTAGGTCCTCTTTGGCATTTTCTTCCCAAAGAGGCCTGTTTCATCACAATTGAACACTTGTTGGGGGAGGAATCCTTCATCCCCTACATACACCTCGAATTCATGCACGAATTTTTCAGCCGCATGTTTGTGATGAATGTTGCAGCGAGGAGAAGGCTGGAGGCAGTGGAGATGTCATGTCTGAGGGCAATGTGTGGTGTGAATATAATGCAGAGAATTCGTAGTTTGGAAGTTAGGAGGAGGTGCGGGATTACCAAAACTGTTGTCCAGAGGGCTGAGGAAGGGTTGTTGAGGTGGTTCGGACATGTAGAGAGAATGGAGCGAAACAGAATGACTTCAAGAGTGTATCAGTCTGTAGTGGAAGGAAGGTGGGGTAGGGGTCGGCCTAGGAAAGGTTGGAGAGAGGGGGTAAAGGAGGTTTTGTGTGCGAGGGGCTTGGACTTCCAGCAGGTATGCATGAGCGTGTTTGATAGGAGTGAATGGAGACAAATGGTTTTTAATACTTGACGTGCTGTTGGAGTGTGAGCAAAGTAACATTTATGAAGGGGTTCAGGGAAACCGGCAGGCCGAACTTGAGTCCTGGAGATGGGAAGTACAGTGCCTGCACTCTGAAGGAGGGGTGTTAATGTTGCAGTTTAAAAACTGTAGTGTAAAGCACCCTTCTGGCAAGACAGTGATGGAGTGAATGATGGTGAAAGTTTTTCTTTTTCGGGCCACCCTGCCTTGGTGGGAATCGGCCAGTGTGATAATAAAAAAAATAATAATAATAATAAATAATAATATGTTTGTCTGAACTTGCGGCCTCGCCATGCCTTACAACACTGTGTATGCCACTTCGCTTTTTGAATTTTTCGAACCAGCCTTTGCTGGCCTTAAATTTACTAACATGAGCACTCGCTGCAGGCATTTTCTTTATGAGATCGGCATGCCTTTTCGCAAATTATCGACTGCATAACACTATCTCCTGCTAATTGCTTTTCGGTGATCCACACCAACAACTTCTCAACATCTTCGATAATTTGCTATTTCTTTTTTGTTAGCATATTTACCCCTTTCACAACATCAGCTTCCTTGATTTCCTTTTTCTTCATCACGATGGAAGTGATCGCTGAATGGGGCTTCCGATACATCCCGGCAAGGTCAGCCACACATACAACACTTCCATATTTTTCAACAATCTCTTTCTTTAATTCTATCATGTTTCTCACCTTCTTTACCAAAGGGCTGGCACTAGGATCTTTCTTTGTGCCCATGATGGCTTATTTGGCAGTTGCAAGCACAAAAAACAATGGATTATTACGAAATGTTTCTATGAATGCGGAGGGCGATATTCACTCGCTGAGAAACAATGCCAGACTGACTCTTGAATGCATCTGTGGGAGGCTTTGTGTGCACGGGGCCATGGGACATGTACCGGATGGCTGCCAAATTTAGGGGGAAGTACACAAAAAAAAAAAAAAAAAAAAAAAAAAAAAAAAAAAAAAAGAGGCAACATTTTGACAAAAAAAAACTTGCCGATAATAAAAATCCATGAAAATAGAGCCTCACGAAATTAGAAGTATTACTGTACAATGTAAATGTCATGCAAGAAGATGTGGCATTGCATTTCGAGAGATTAGATCTAGTTCTTGGTAAATCTGAAGCTAATGTGAAGAAAAAAGTACTCTAAATGTCAGTTTCTTAGCTCAGAGATCAAAGTTTTTGACAACACAATTACTCCTAGAGGGGTTACGACCGACTAAAGTAACAGTGGTACAAAATTTTCCAGCTCCAAAAACTGCTGATGCTTTACGGTCATTTGTGGGCTCAGCAGGGTTTTACACAGCTTTCATGGCAAATTTTTCTTCGATAGCAGATCCTCTAACAGAACTGCTTAAAAAAAGATATTCCTTTCACTTGGACCTTTCATCAAGAAAGGACATTTCAGACACTAAAAGTTACACTAACTTTTGTTCCTGTTCTAAAATTCCTATACTTTGAAAAGCCTTTGCAAATGACCACAGATGCTAGTGCTATATATGGCATAGGTGCCATCCTAGCACAAAAGACTGATGGCAAGTATAACCCTGTTCCATGTTAGTCAAGTTTTAATTAACCAAGGCTGAACATAACTACTCTGAGCAAGAATCATTAGCCATAATTTGGTCTTTTAAAGCATTACTGTGATATCATCTACCAGTATCCAATTCATTTCTTGACAGATCATGCACCAGTGATTCTGTTGTTTTAGAACAAAACCTAGATGATTAGGAAGATGGTCCTTGACCATCTAATGTGGTTGTGGACACTGTCTGACCACATCAATGCAGTTATAGCTGATCCTACTCTCAATGAAAAAGTTAAAACTGCTCAACAAACACATCCAGCCAAGTCTGGTATAATCAAATTCCTGACAAAGGAAGATCAGACACTGTCTGAAAATGCCAGCTGTACTGAGTAGCTGAGCTGGATATCCCCAGTTGTAAAGTAAATTTCTTATCCCAAAGTCATTAGTGAATGTAGCCCTACATATAATTTATAATGTAAAAGGTGTTGCCCACCCTGGCATGAATCATTCTGTTAAACAGGCTTGGGTGAAGTATTTTCGGCTTTGTATGAGACAAGGTATTTCAAAGTATGTAAAAAAAAGTATAAGGTACGAAGAATGAGAAATTTGTGCAACATTTCAGTATCTATACTGTAAAAGTGTTTCACCAGCTATTGGTTTCCTCAGCTTGGAGTCAATGTGTTCAGTCTATCAATTTTGATAAAAGTGCAGCATATGTTCAGAGAAAGAGCTTATATACAGCAAACAGGTGAGGTGAAGCAGTTGGAGGCAGCATCACCAGTGGAAAAATCCACTAGTGGAATTAGGTCATGCCTATAGGTAAGTATTATTCCTTTTTTTGTACATGACCTGAACAGCTATCGATCAATCCAAAACTGTTCAATGATCCACAAGCCTAAATATATTTTCTTTTTTGTGTGCAATTTTTCTTTTGCGCTGTAAAGAATCATGGTTTAATATTAATCCCTGTAGTCTAGTAGTCCATTTATATTTCTGTTGTTAGGTTAGCTGCCTGCATGACAAGGACATCATACACATAGTATTAACTAAACTGTCAGTAATGACCAGAATAGACGGTCCCCTTAATGAGTCATTTGGCAGTTACTCTGGTGACTCAAAGTTCTCTCACTGCACACGCACCTGACCCAGAGAGACGGCCGAGGTCAGATGCCAGCTAGTATGACTCCGAATTTTAGTGCCAAATAAATACCAGTAAACCAAGGATTCCATCCATACTTAACAGTTTTTGAGCCTAATACTTTAATTATTAATAATAATATTCATACCTGTATTTCTTAACCTCAAGGTTTAAGGAATACAATAATTTTATAAAATTTTAAAGAGTGAAAATGATTTGAGATATCTATTTCCCAATTCAAACAGGCAAAGTCCTACTGTCAATCCTCAACAATGCTATATACAGTCACCTTAGCAGTAATCAAAGTGCAATACTTACGCCATACGTTCTTCATCTCTCCCACCACCACGTCTACGGTCATCTTCACGACCAGAGTGTTTTATGTTTACATCTGGTCCACCTCGACGTGTGCCTCCTAAACCACCACCTGAATCAAAGGGAATTACATTCTATATTTTTCACATTCCTTGAAAAACATTTAGTTATTTAGCTCATGTTACTAATTTTTGAAAACATTTACTTACAGCTAACCACTAATAAAAGAAATTCCATATTTTAGTAAAAAAAAAAAAAAATATATATAAAATTGCATTGAAGACCAATGAGAACAATTAACACGAACCAACTATAGTTCAGTAATAAATTAAGCAACAAGATTTACTCTGACTGTTTCAGTTGTATATATACGTCTTACGAGCCACCGTGTTTGACATGTATACACCTACCATCCGACTTACGAACTGCTCGACATACGTCCATTCGACTTATGACCGTGCATCTGGCAGCTGGGCTGGGCCGGCTGATTCACACCACTGTACAATATTTGACAATACTCGCGGCGGCAATGTGTCATAAAGGCAGCATCAGTTTGAGTAACCCTGCCCTATCAGCGGCATCATACTGTATTAACTGTACTAACTGGACAGTAAATTTCACCATGGCCCCTAAGATGAAGTCTGAATCTTGCACTGGAGATTGTGGCAAGAAAGGCTCTTACTCTCGAACTCTCTACTTGTTTTCACTGTTGCACATAAACCTGTCTGTATCTGTCTGCCTGTATATCTGTCTGTATCTCTGTGTGTGTGTTTATCTGTCTACTAGTGTGTGTCTTTCTGTCTACCTGTGTGTCTTTATGTCTACCTGTGTCCGTGTCTACCTGTGTGTCTGTCTTTCTGTCTACCTGTGTGTCTGTCTTTGTCTGCTTGTCTATCTCAGAGCCACTCATTAAGAGTGTACTTGGTCTTGAAGACGCCATATTAATAATGATAATAAAAATAATAATCACTGAGGCGCATTAAATGTGTATAAAACGTTAATATAGACATTTTGCTTAATCCATCTATGATTTTTTTTTCAAAATTATATAATAAACATGCTACATAACATATAAATTAACAAATATGAGACGTTTTTCTGGTCGGCTTGACAGTGAACAGGAACCGTTCGTGTCCGGGCTGGTAACAACAACAACAACGTTTGTTTACATAACTCGTGAACATTCTACATTCTCATTCTCTCTCTCATTTATTCATTTAATCTTGTTTACTCACCTCTCACTCTACATTAAAACTACAGATATTTTAAGGTAAGTAATGAGTGGACACGATTATTATACTATAGCTTAATAATAATAATATTAATATTAGTACATATGTATTATTGTAATAATAATGATTATTAATATTATTATTAATTTAGGGCACTGGAGCACAGATCCACTGTATAGCACTTTGTCTGGATTTTTTGGGTTATCCTAGGTAATTTATAATATGTATGATAACTTGACTTACGTGTACCAGTGAGAGAGAGAGATACAGAGAGATACAAAGAGACAGCCATATTCGGTCAGCCAGTCAGCCAACTACCCACCCACCCATCTAGCCACCCACCCACCCATCATCCATCCAGCCACCCACCCACCCATCATCCATCCAGCCACCCACCCATCATCCATCCATCCAGCCACCCACCCACCCATCATCCATCCAGCCACCCACCTGGCCAGCCACCCACCTGGCCACCCACCAATCCAGCCAGCCAGCCACCACCCAGCCAACCACAGACCCGGCCACCCAGCCAGCCAGCCGGATACGTATTACACATGTTCCAGAGTCGTTTCTCTTTACTTAGGGTATAGGTTACACAACATTCTGCCAGGATGACACTACCAGTGGTGTTCTCCCATTCCACTGAGTCGACAATACATAAAGATAATAGTAACATATGATACTGTATTTTTTTTTTTTTCAACAAGTCGGTCGTCTCCCACCGAGGCAGGGTGACCCAAAAAAGAAAGAAAATCCCCAAAAAGAAAATACTTTCATCATCATTCAACACTTTCACCACACTCACACATTATCACTGCTTTTGCAGAGGTGCTCAGAATACAACAGTTTAGAAGCATATACGTTTAAAGATACACAACATATCCCTCCAAACTGCCAATATCCCAAACCCCTCCTTTAAAGTGCAGGCATTGTACTTCCCATTTCCAGGACTCAAGTAAAATTTACAATACATATCACTACCATGTATACATCATATACATTACATAAATAATTAAAATACAACAATATTGGCAGTTTGGAGGGATATGTTATGTATCTTTATATGTGTATGCTTCTAAACTGTTGTATTCTGAGCACCTCTGCAAAAACAGTGATAATGTGTGAGTGTGGTGAAAGTATTGAATGATGATGAAAGTATTTTCTTTTTTGGGGATTTTCTTTCTTTTTTGGGTCACCCTGCCTCGGTGGGAGACGGCCGACTTGTTGAAAAAAAAAAACAATAGAAGTAAATTCTGGTAAAAAGAATGAAATAATGATTGTACATTACATTACAGTATTATGTAGGTAGTTTATGTAGGAAAGTTTTGACATTATGCCCTACCCAATATGTCGGCAATTTTCAAAGGTTCGACATACGTCCATTTCGACTTACGACTGGTTGGTCGGAACCAAGCTTGGTCGTAAGTCGGATAGTAGGCGTATACGTACTCATAAATTCTAGTGCCTTCAAATCAAGCAGGAGAAAGCTGGTAGGCCCACATGTTAGAGAATGGGGCTGTGTGTTCACTGTGCATCACATAAAAAAAATCCTGCAGCACGCAGTGTATAATGAGAAAAAAAAACTGACCTTTTTTTTTAATTAAAATGCCGACTTTGTGGTCTATTTTCGTAGAGTATTTATTGTTGTATTCTCGTGTTCTTGGTCTCATTTGATAGAATGGAAAACATATTATAGAAATAGAGGTGATTTTGATTGGTTTTACTATGAAAAGAACCTTGAAATGGAGCTCAAAGAAGGGGAAATATTTGATTTTTGCCGATGTTCAAAATTAAACAAATGCTGTCATTTTCCAATAAATGTCCAACTAGCCATTCTAATATGCAGTCATGAATGGGTTAATATTATTTATACAATTATTACAATATTGCAATAGTCTGCATAACAGTAAATCTTCTATTTTTCGTTTGAATATAAAAATTCAAAATAGAAAGCAAGAGTAATATCAGAGGGGCCTGGAGACGTGACTGATGAACAAAGAAAATGTTATTTTAGAGCGAGGAATGTCTGCATTGTTCATTCTGGACCTTATTTTGAAATTGTCATATTTTTAATTTCG